GGGGGGGGGGGGGGGGGGCTCTGGTGCCATCACACCTGCCCCACCCCAGTCCTCACTGGGGACTAGTGAAGCCACAGGAACAGCAACAAAAATGAGCCCAGACCTCCCGTGGGGACAAGGCAGGTGCCAAACTACCCGGGCTCACATCCCCATGTCCCAAGACTGGGAAAACCGGACGAGGAGGTCAAACCAGCCTTTAGCTGGGGGGCAGCCAGAGAAAGCCAAGGACACGGTGTGGGATGCGATAATTATCACAGGTGGAAGCGGCATCATTAGGGACGATAACGGGGACGATAATAGTCACAGATGTTAATGACACCACTAGCGGTGACAGTCCTGATGGTCACGACACCCCAGAAACGGACGTAGGTCCTCGGTTCACGTTGCTCGTGAGCCAGCCGACCCTTTAAGGTCCTTAGATAGGCTCTGGGTCACAGAAGAAGGACGTGAGCCAGGAGGGGCCTCAGAGGATCTGAATACTCTGGGTGGCCCCTGTCTCCCTCTGTCCCCCCACACTGAGGTCTCCTTGGGAGCCGGGGGCCGGGTTCAGAGGGGAGGGGGGTGTCCCAGTTCTGGTCTGACCCTGGTCTGCAGGGGTGACAGCAGGGCCCCTGGGGACAGCAGGCAAGAGCTGGTGGGCGAGCGGGGTCCCCGGGCCCCTCCTTCTGGCCGTGTGGGCCCCGCGCTCAGGCTCACGGCGGGTGACGGTTAGTGCACTGCGAGCCAGGGAGGGGTCGAGTACCTACCCGGTGGTCCAGGCCATTCTTTCCGTGTCCTGGGAGAGGGTCAGATTTGGAATAGGGGGATCCTGAAACAGACACAGCACAGCTCTGTCACGCACACACGCAGGCTCGGCCAGGCAGGGGAGGAAAGGCTCAGCCCCGGCCGGCGGGGCTGGGTGGTGACACCCAGAAAGGCCCCTGAAGGTCACGACCCCCCCCCCCTCAGTCGTGGCCTCTGTCTCCAGGGCGCTGACTGAGGAGGAAGCCAGTAAGGGCGTGATGTCCCTGAGCCCGCCTAGGACCCCAGGAACACCCTGGGGCCCAGCCCTGGTCCCGGTGGGCACCTGTGTTCTCTGACGGCCTCAGGCCTTGGTGCCACCGGTCCCCCAGGCCGCGCTCCTCGCCTGGTGGACCCGGTGAGCTGGGGGCAGAGTCAGGACCCCTGTGCGGGGTAGGGCTGTGCCCTCCTGTCCCAGAGGCCGCACACGGAGGCCTGCCACCAGCAGAAGGCAGCAGGAAAACTATTTTGTTTTTTAAAAGACCTTAAGCTGTTTGCAGTTGTGGGGGGTCACATTAAAAGCCTAATGTCCAGCTTCTCTTGAAGCAGAAAAGGGCTGGCCTGAGACCGTGGGACCCCCACACCTGCTCCACCTCCATGGCTCACGTCCCCGGCTGCCCCGCGTGGGCCCCGGGGTCTGAGAATTCCCAGTTATGCCCCTGCAGCACGTGCCTGGAGAGGGCAGCGCGGAGGCTCTCTGCGACATCCTTCTGGCCGAGAGGGGAGTGTGGGATGCGTCCTGAAGGCGAGGACGAGTGGCAGAGCCGGGCCACCCCCACTCTGGGGGAGCACCTTCAGGAGGCTTGTCCCCGGTCCCTGTGGGCCCTTAACACTCAGGGACCAGTTCTGCTCCATCCGGGGGTCCTGGCTCCCAGCACCGGGCCGGGACCCAGCGGCCCAGGAAGCAACGTACCCTGGGAGCCTCCAGGCTGTGGGCCCGGCGGGGGGTGGAGCACGTCTCTGTGTCCACAAGGCCATGTGCACACCGGACCAAGGGCGGAGGACAGGGCCTCGGATGAGCTGGGTGCCGCGCACAGAACTGCCCACCCACCCACTCCAGGACGCCCCTGCTCTGAGCAAAGGATACTTATCCAGATGCCCTCGTCTCTGGGAGTCCTCGCCGAGTCTGTGAGGACAAAGGAGACATTCTGCGTGCATGTGGACACGGGCAAGCCTGTAGGCGATGCCTCAGCTGGGGAACCGGTCTTGGGGACTTGTTTGCTCCCGGGTGGCCTGTGGGAAGGCCCTGGATGCGGGTCAGAAAGGGCCTTTTGCCACATCTAGGGCAGGGTTCTCAAGCTTCCTTGAGCAAAGGCGCCCTCTCGCCATGCGAGATTTTACATGAACTGACACGCAAAACAGGGGGAAGGGGAGACAGAAGTGGGGTGAGGGGCGAGGGGCCAGCCCCACTCTTGCCGTCCCTCTTCCTCCCAGCCTCTCTCAAGCCTCCTCCAGGTCATCAACTAGCTTCCCATTCTACAGAAGGCGAATCGAGGCTCAGAGATCGTGGAGGTCGGGGGGGGGGGGGGGGGGGGGGGGGGGGGGGGGGGGGGGGGGGGGGGGGGGGGGGGGGCTGCCCGAGGGCGCCCAGCCCCGTGATGCAAATGAGGCGTCCTGACTCACAGTCCTGGGGTCCCTCCTAATTTACACACAGAGCCAGGCACACTTGGGGACGTGGTGGAGGATCTGAGGGACCCTCCACCGAGACACAGGAGGCCCTTATCAGCCAAAGATGCCCGGGGCAGTGGTTCTCAAAGTGGGGTCCCTGACTAGCGGCATCGGCTTACCTGGAACTGGTGAGAAAGGCAAGTTCTCAGGCCCCGCCCCCGACCTCCTGCATCAGAATCCAGGGCTGGGGTCCCGTGAGCTGGGTTTTCACCAGCCCTCTGGGGCATCGTGACGGTTCGGGAAGCACGGCTTTAGGGCCTCAAGAACAGCGATGCCCTCACCTCTAGCTGTCACCTGGAGGCCCTGCTGTCACATGGACGGCTGTTACAATGTCCCCTGTTCAGACCGCCATGTGCCAGCCTCTGTATTTTACTGCTTCTCGTGCAGAGACCCTACTCCCCAGAGGCCACCCTGTTCTCCTTTTTAGTGACACTTGTCCCAGCTATTTCTTCCACCTACCTTGAGCGTCCATATCCGATAACGTTAGAAATTTCGCTTCACCGGGATTCAAACAGGATTTCAGAAACTCACGAAAAGAAGAGCCAATCACGTTTGCCCCATTTTTTGCCTGTTCCGATGGGCTTTCTGTTCAGAAGCTCCAACCTTCTCTCAGCATTTCCCTTCGGCCTGGACCACTTCCGCCCACAATTCTTGAAAGAACGTCTGCTGGTGAAAACTTCTTACTTTTCCTTCGAGAATTTCTGCATTTCCCATTCATTCCCGGAGGATGTGCTCCCCCAATATGGAATTCACGCGGACGAGCAACTTGCTTTCGGCCCCCGTGGTTTCTGATGAGAAATGCTTGCCTCCAGACCGGCGTTTCCCTACAGGGAGTCTGTCTTCTGTCTCGGCTGCTTTCAGGATTTTCAACCCTCTGTCTTTAGATTTTAGAAGTTCAATTGTGATGGGTTCTGGAGTGAATTACCTTGGACTCATCCCGCTTGGGGTTCACGCAGTTTCTGGAACCGGTAGGTTTATGTGTTTTGCCACATCTGGTAAGTGTTCGGCCACATCCTTGAGTACTTTTTCAAACCCGCTGTCTTCTCTCTTTCTGGGACTCCAATGCTACAAATATTGCCCCGCAGGTCTCCGAGGCCCCGTTCGTTTATTTCCTGCTGTTTTCTGTTGTGCCGACCGGGTCCCTTCTGCTGTTCCATCTAAGGGACCACTAGCTTTCCTCTGTCATGTTCTGCTGCTGTGTTATTGAATCTACATGATGATTTTTAAATTTTGATTATTTTCTTTTTCATTTCTATCGTTTCCGTTTGGCTCTTTTTTTACATTTTTGGTTGTTTCCAGAGTATCTGTACTTGCTTGTTGAAGTGTTCTTCTGATTGCTGGCACTCAAGGTCCTTGTCCGGGAACCCCAACATCCAGTTCGTTTTTCAAATATTTATGTGTGTGTGTGAGTGAGAGAGAGAAAGAGAGCGAGCGAGCAGGAAGGTGCAGAGAGAGGGGGACAGAGGATCCAAAGCAGGCTCCGTGCTGACAGCAGAAAGCCCAACACGGGGCTCAACCTTGCGAACCGTGAGGTCATGACGTGAGCCGAAGTCGGAGGATCGATGGACTGAGCCACCAGGCGCCCCAACATCCAGTCCTTCTCCATGTCGTGTTTGTTGCTTGTTTTTACCCAAATTGTTATCTTCATGGCTCTTGGAGTAGCCCTCTATCGTCTCCCAGACATCTGAGACTTTGCGTCAGAGGACGAGGACGCCAGGTCCCAGGAAAACCTCCCACGGAGGCCGCTGCCACCTGGTTGGGTTTGGCAGATGGGGTTTGTGGTGGATGCGGCTTCGAGGACAAGCCAGTTTTCAGAACATTTGTCAAGGGCCCTTGCGACCGGCCGAGTCCAGCCGGTGCCTGTCGGCACTGCCTGCGGGGGCGAGATGCGCTTCCCTGGTGGCTCCGTGCCCCGAGGTGGGGGTGAGAGATGCCAGCCGTGGTGGAGAGGGCCTCCCAGGCCCACCCTCCAGGCTGCCAGGAGCCAGCGGGCCTCCCGCTTCACATCTGCTGGTGTGGCCAGGGGAGCGAGACGTCTACCTGGCCCCTGGTGCCACTGCATGGGAGGTGGGAGACGTGGGTCCCGTGTTTTCCCTCGAGTCCTGGGGTCCAGCCCACCTCCTCTTTCCACCCTTGAGAGTTCTGTGATCTGTCTGCTGTATTGTTTCGGGGGGTGGGGTTTGGCTATACGTAGTGGGGACCAGCAGAGATAGTAGGGGAGGGTCCACTCTCTCCCCGCCCAGGCTGCCATGTAGACCCATCAAACTTGGTTTATCTGGGGCTGGGACCAGCCATCAGTGGATTTTAGAGGTCCCAGGGACCCCATGTGCAGCTAGGGTTGAGAGCCACCAGTTTAAAAAGTCCCCACACACATTCAGAGACTTTACCTGACCCTCATACACCTTCCCATTACACATGGCCTCCCTTTACGGGTGAGGAAGCGGGAGCCTAGTGAGAACAAATGACCCCTAAAGGTCAAGGTCTGCTCACAGCGAGGGCACGGCAAGAGCCCGGGACTTCCGGCTTCACGATCCAGTGATCCCTTCCGCTCCAGCAGCTCTGCCTGGTGTGGGTTTTGCGGGGGGGGGGGGGGGGGGGGGGACTTTCAGGCACCTGCGTGTCAGATGACACTGGGTGGCCAGAAGAGTGCCCGCTGTGTGTACTTGAGAGAAGGCAGGTCTACTGCCCCTGGGACGAGGCGGCAGCTGGGTCGTCGTCAGTCTCATCAGCTCTGCAGGTGCTGGACACCCACCCGTCCCCGAGTCCTCGCCAAACGGGCTCCCCTGCCACCTCCTCTCAGAAGCCCACTGGTGTCAGCCCCTGGCGTCCTGCGGGACCGCTCTCAGGGCCCTGGTCTCCTCGGGTCTGGGCCTCTTCTGGGCTGGCTTCCGACCGGTTGGAGTATCCTCAAGGGGAGGATCTCGGGGGCGGGCGGCTGGTCCTGATGCAGCTGGAGAGCAGCCGAGACCATCACAGCCTCCAGGCATTCTCGGTGCAAACCTGGCATTCTCGGTGCTTCCCTGGGCAGACCTTTGTCAGCTCTGCCAGAACCACAACGGGTTTTCCACTGACGCGTGGCTCCGCGACTTTGCGGCCGTGTGGCCCTGCACAGGTTTGGGTCCTGCACCGGCTGGAACTGCCTTCCACCCCGATTGACCGTGAACAGGAGGCCCGAAGATGGTCCAAGCTCCAGGCTTCAGAAGCCGGCGAGAGGGGGCCGCGGAAGGCTCACCACGACCCGGGCCGCGGACTTGACCGCGGGACATCCGGATGCCGAGACATCCCCCAAGGCTCAGGTCACGGGATGCCGGGTGCCCACACGTCAGCCCCCAAAGCCCAGGTGCTTCCTCCCAGGCCGAC